ACCAAAAGATTTATGGATTTGAATAAATATATAATGATTAACACTATGCATTTCCCAGAAAACAAGCGATAGCACCAATGCAGTTAATCAGTGACTTTGCTAACTACAACGATTCGATGATCATCATTGCTAAGAAAAGAACCATACTCTATAAAAGCCTAGAGCCACTTGGGAAACATGAAAATCTGATAGAATCAAAAATCATTCTGGGATGAATTCGTCGTGTAAATGAGGCGTGAGCTAAAAAGCTGGGAGGCACTGGAAAGACCCGAATGATGAAGGAAGCCAATAATAAAATCGGTGTTCACGGCATAATTGTGCTAACTGTCAGTGAAAATTCCGTATTATAGGTTGGTAGATCTCAGTTATAATAAAAATAATTGTAATTTGCCTCTAATTTAAAGAATTACTGATCTGTCTGTCGATAACGGAAATTCGGAGTTCTAGAAAATTCGAAGATGCAGATGATGTGATAAAAATATCGTCTATTGAAACTCACTAGTTGGCCTTCTTTAGCTTTGCTTATCTGCTCGGATATAACTGAACGGACTGGACTCGTGGACTCGTTTCCATCCCCATTATCTGACTCATCACTGGAAGACACATCGGAATCGGTCGAAACAATTTCATCTCCCATTAACGACTGCTCTCTATTCTCTACTTGAGAATCTGCAGACAAAGGCCAAACGGCATGCAAAGGAACACTGGCTACAGCATCCTCCAGGTGGTCGTAACTGTCCCGTCGAACCAGGCCGGAGCGGGGGCAACCGCTTTTGTTCATCTCCTTAGATGATTGTGGAACGTATTTATGACCCCACTGAATGACACAATTTTCCGACTCCAGATCGGTGTGAAGCAGATGGGCATGCCTCCAAATCGAAGGGCGCGTGGAATGAGGTTGTTCTTTAACAAGACAAGGTTGACCTTCGTTCAAGTACAGGCTCGGATCCAGTTCATCCCACTCTTCAATATCCTTCAAGCATAGCAAGTGAGTATCAAAATGTTCAAACGGAATATGATAATTCGTCTGACAACAAAAGTTAACACGTTCTACGAATCCATTAGTCGAGTATCACGACAGGTGAGTTAATGTACAGAAATGCGAAAAACAAGCATTAAACGTGATTCATTATTTTTTGAAGAATGTAACTGCTACAAGGCAGTTTCAAGACACAGTGGAATATCGCATGTATATCAACGGTCATGGCAATATGATATTAGAAAATCTGTGAGCATCTCTCATCCGGCTACACTGAAATTCAAGTACAACCTTTCTCGAACACTTTGAATTGTGTGATTGTTGAAGCAAGAAAGCTAACCGTGAATGAAATGTTGAAGTTTGGAGGCAATCCTAATCCGAATGCACGGTCGAAACATGGACTTAAACTGGAGCCAGCTCTTGACTACAAGATGGCATTTGATTTTCTCACGCTGCATAACCGCTAAGCCGCAGATGATTTGCTGTCCTACTATTCCAGCCACAGAAAGAACATCGATATCTTTATTGCATACAGTGTCACGAACACTCGAAGGGTTGAACTCCTGAATAACGAGGTTCGACCGTTGGATTCATGCAAGCAGTTTTCTTTGATACATTCATGTAAACGGGAAAGAGCATCGTGATCTCGGGATTTGATGATTTGAGCTACTTCGGGTTAGTCTCAACACTCGTTATGCTTGGGAATCGGTAATCCAAACATTGGAACATTGCAGAGTGAGCCACATGAGGCATNTGGAAGGCATTTATCAAGTGAATGAACCTTCGAATCTTTGACGGATGGAACAGCTGCCAGTACAGGATGCCGCAAAACCATGCACCACATGTTTCATTTAGATCCTACTGAAATTTACGGAATTAGCCATAATCATTACAAGATTGACACGGGGGGTTATTGGTACTGGGGTCATCAGTAGGCCATGTGGATCACCACAAAATTGACCATTCTGTAAATTCCAACAAATCACATCAAAAGTTTACTATTGTGGGACGAACGGCAGAAGGCATAAACCTACGTCATGGGAGCCGGCAAACTATTCTCGTCCGGTTTAGCAAGTCCGTAGTGTTTGAAAAGGGCTGTAGTACTTTTGTATATGTACATGGATACAACATACATTTTAACTTAGCCATACTTATTGTTTAATTCGAAACTCTATCTTTGTATTTCGCGTTCCCAAGCGCTTTTCGTCTATATTTCTCAGGAGTTTTCAAGCCGCTTCCAGCTCCATTGTCAAGAAATTTCTGATGTGCTGTTGCGCCGGCTGGTTTAACTCCAATTCTTTGAGGGCTTGCACACTTTTATTATGTAAGCACCGAACAGAAATTTGTAGGAAACTTCGTCGAAATGGGACAGTCTGGACGAATAGAGCTTGTGGCGATAAGCATTTTAAACTGTTCATCAGATAATACTCCTGACAATCAACCAGACAGTATCAAGAATGTTCATTTATTATTTTTTTATTTACACAAGATTGATTTCAGAGTGCGTGTCAAACAAATCATAAAAAAAGAAAGGATTTACTTATTTACCGAAATAGTTGTCGTTTCAGTTGACCACAAGAACCACAATGATTCATACCATAATTCAGTTTACATTTGAAACACACCTCGAACTGTCTTCTAGTCAACTCATTTGAACCATGAGAAGTATAGATGAAACGGCTACCGAAACATAATCAAAATTGAGGGAGAGCCATATCAAGAGCTCGAGAACGTAGATATGGTTTATACCTGAGTCATTCGATTGCGTCGACCCTGTGTACGCGTATGCCAGGGTGTTCAAGTGTGCATCAAAATGTTGAGACCGCAAACCGGTTCATGAATCCTGACTTATCCGTCCTATAGTCATGTGTGAATGTCATTCGTCAACTGATCGTACAGGTGCGTCCAGAATTCTGTTGTCGACAGTTGTTCCGCATTACATTTACCATGATTTGTACATTTATTAAATTCGTGTTATTAGGTGCACCGAGTGATCCATTTCTTGGGATCTCTTTAGGTTGTTTCTAATGCAAGACGGTAGCAGTCGCCTTCGCAGACGATTGTTAGGTTAGTGGTTCAAAAAAACAGAAACTTATTAATTCCAATAAGAAATTTTCTCACCACTGCATACCTGAAGGGCGCTCTCTCAAAAGACGTTTGCACCAGTTTGAGATGCTCATTCACAAGTTAATGGAATAGACCATCTGGACTAGCTTTCAGAGGGAAACCGTAATTACAGAGGAATTCCAAGTAGAGTATTAAGAGTCCTGAACAAAGAACTCACCTCGGAACTGACTATCTTTCCATGAGACCACGGACAGCGAATTCCACGACGACAAAACCCGTCAGTCATGAACTGTGCACAAGGTAAATCTGTGGTTCGTGTCGGGTGGGTAAGGAAAACACGCACACGACCAGACATCACCTCCGAAGAAGATGCAATCTGAGCCTTCGGGTCGGATGCCTCGTCCACTATATCACAAATCACTGCATTCTGACGGACAAATCGTCCATTTGCTGTCCATCCACCGATGCTACATCGTTGTCCAATAAGTATCTGCTTTAGCTCATCAGTGACTGTTGTAGGAACCACGCTGGCTTTTTCGGATGAGTTGCTCGATGAAGCACCTTCTGAACATGTGCCAAACAGTTGTTTCTGCACATCTCTTAAAAGTTCTCCTTTACGCTCAGCGAGGAACTGCTCCTCCTGAAGTGCGATTAGTTCAACCAAATCTTGGCGCAACGCAAGCAAATCAGATCGATCAACCGAGTCTTGTGCTTGTAACTGCACATCCAATTGAGATAATGTCGACTTAAGTTCGTCAAGGTCGCCGTGTTTAGAGGCCTGAAATGCACAAACAGAATGAAGATTCAATGGATAGTGAAGTTTCGGAAGATCTACGGGCGTAGAAAGAAACAATTTCACCCACCCNCACCCACCCAAGCCACCAAGAGAAATAAACCACAAGAACACATGTGATCAGATGAAACTGATCATCTTACTCATCATTCTTGAAAAGCCTAAGCTGCCGTTCGTGAAATGCCGAACCGTTAAAAACGCATGTTACGGGTAAACTAAGCAAAATGCGAACGGATGATCCATTTCAGTAAAAATTTCAAATCTGATAGGAATGAAAGATCAAATAAGTAGCTCGTTTAGTCGGTAAGACGGGTGTACTTTGCACAACACATGCAATCGAGAAAGAACTGTTATAGTGAAAAAATCCGAAAACTGGATGAAGACAAGAAAAACTGGGTATTATGTGCTTGTGCATATTAATGCAGCTGTTTATATACGAACGATGTCGTTTCCACCAATGATTAGAAAAGAAAAGTGAAGTACAACGGAGATTATAT